TCGATGTTGTGTATTTTCATTCCATGCAATTATTTTTTAAATATTTGCTTATTTGTTTGAAAGGCAGAGTTAGAGAGAGAGGAGAGAGATCTTCCATCTGCAGTTCACTCCCTAAATGACTGCAATGACCAGGGCTGGGCCAGGAGCTTCTTCCAGGTCTCACATGTGCGTGCAGGGGCCCAAGCACCTGAGGCATCTTCTGCTGCTTCCCCAGGAGCATTAGCAGGGAGCTGGATCAGAAGCAGAGCAGCTGGGACTCAAACTGGCGCCTATATGGGACGGAGGTGCTGCAGACAGTGGCTTAACCTTATGCGCCACAGAGCCAAGCCCCTCCATTCAATTATTTTAAAAATTTCCTTGAGAAGTCTTCTTTGACCCAAAGATTATTTAAAAGTGTGTTGTGGGGCCGGCACTGTGGCATAGTGGGTAAAGCCTCTGCCTGCAGTGCTGCCATCCCATATGGGCGCTGGTTCAAGTCCCAACTGCTCCACTTCCGATCCAGCTCTCTGCTATGGCCTGGGAAAGCAGTAGAAGATGGCCCAAGCCCTTGGGCCCCCACACCCATGCAGGAAACCCGGAAGAAGATCCTGGCTCCCGACTTCGGACCGGCACAGCTCCGGCCGTTGCAGTCAACTGGGGAGTGAATCAGCAGATGAAAGATCTCTCTCTCTCCCCCCTTCTCTATGTAACTTTGACTTTGAAATAAATAAATATTTTTTTTAAAAGTGTGCTGTATTTACAGTATTTGCAGATTTTCCTGTTACTTTTCTGCTGTTGGTTTCTAGTTTGATTCCACTGGATCAGATAATATACTGTTTATGATTTCAATTCTTTTAAATTTATTGAGGTTCGTTTCATGGCCCAGTTTGTGCTCTTAGTTTGTGCTTCACAGGCACATGAAAAGATGTATTTTCTGCTGGTTTTGGGTGGAGTGTTCTATAAATGTTGTTTAGATCCTGTCGGTGGTGGTGATGTTGAATTCTTATATATTCTTGCTGATTTTTTTTTTTTTTTTTTTTTTGTCTAGTTCTGTCAGTTCCTAAGAGATGAGAGCTGAAGTCCCAGCTATAATTGTGGGTTTGTGCTCTGGTCCGTTCAGTTCTCTCCAGTTTTGTGTCACATTTTCCAGCTTTGTGGTTTGCCCCATATCCATTTGCAATTGCTATTTTTGTGTGTGTGAAGTGACCCTTTATCGTTACATAATGTCCCTCTCTGTCACTGGTAGTCATTGTTCTAAAGTTACCTGAGAATAATTCAGCCACTTTGATGTTCACATGATATGTCTTTAACTATCCTTTCAAAGTGCCTAGGTCTTTATCTTTGAAAGGTGTTTCTTGTTGATAGCATATGAGGTTATCAGATCATTTATTTAGCATGCACAACATACTGTTTTGGTCATTGTGGAATGTCTAAATCTAATCAACATATACACTGCCTCACATAGTTATCATTTTTGTGGTGAGAATGGGTCATTTTTTAAGAATCTATTTTCCCAATCTCTTTTTTAATTGGTATGTTTAGACGCCTTACATTTAATGTAATTACTGGTGTGTAAATCACCATTTGCTTTTTGTATTTTGTGTGTCCTATTTGTTAATTTTCTGTTTTTCTGCTGGTTTCCTATGAGTCACTTGAAGACTTTTTGGGATTCCATTTTGATTCATGCAAAGTGTTTGGGTGTTATCCCTGTCTATGGCCTTTTTAGTGGTATTACACTATATATACACATAACTTAGCATAGTCTACTGGTAGTTATTTTACCACATTTGAGTGAAGAAATCTTTTCTTCCTTCACATCTCATCACTCTCATGTTCATGATATTAATTTAAAATTTCCTCTGCATACACTGATGAGACCACATCAGTGTTATAATTTTTTAAAATTTATTTATTTATTTTAAAGGCAGAATTAGAGAGAGGCAGAAGCAGAGAGAGAGAGAGAGAGAGAGAGAGAAGTCTTTCATCCGCTGGTTCATTCCCCAAATGGCCATAATGGCTGGAGCTATGCTGATCTGAAGGCAGGAGCCAGGAGCTTCCTCCTGGTCTCCCACGTGGATGCAGGGGCCCAAGGACTTGGGCCATCTTCTACTGCTTTCCTAGGCCATAGCAGAGAGCTGGATTGGAAGTGGAGCAGCTGGGACTCGAACTAGCACCCATATGGGATGCCGGTGCTGCATGGCATGGGTTTACCCATTATGCCACAGTGCTAGCCCCAGTGTTATAATTTTAGCTTCACTCATCAAACATAATTTAGAAAACCTAACAGGGGAAGGAAACTCTATTGATTTTACCCATATTTTTTTCTGTCCATGTCTCTTTTTGTTTTGATGTTTCTGGCTTCATTTTTTATTTCCTTTCTGTTTAGATAAACTTAAAAAAAAAAAAGATGTATTTATTTGAAAGCCAGAGTTAGAGAAAGAAACATACAGAGATCTTCCATCTGCTGGGTCATTTCCCAGATGGCCACAATGGCCAGGGCTGGGCCAGGCGAAAGCCAGGAGCCAGGAGCTTCTTCCAGGTCTCCCACATGGGTGCAGGGGCCCAGGGGCTTGGGCCATTCTTTGCTGCTTTCCCAGGCACATTAGCATGGGATGCTGGTGCTGTAGGCTGGGGCTTTAACCCACCGCACCACAGCACTAGTGCCCCCAGGCACCCTAATATGGGATGTGGACATCCAAAGCAATGACTTAACCCACTGCACCAAATACGTGCCCTGTGTTTCATCTCTTCTTTTGGATTTATTTACTTACCTGAAAGGCAGAGTTACAGAGAGGGAGAGGGCGAGATGGATGCAGAGACATTCTGTCGGCTCTTCACTCTCCAGATTACTAGAATGGGGTTGGGGAGTGGAGCTGAGCCATGCTGAAGCCACGAGCCAGGGAACACTTGGGCCATCTTCTGCTGCTTTCCCAGATGCATCAGCAGTGAGCTGGATTGGAAGAGGAGCAGCTGGGACTTGAGCCATTACCCATATGGGATGCCAGCATTACAGTTGGTGGCTTAACTTGCTATGCCAGCACCCACCCCCCACCCCCACACCATACCTATTCAACTCATAACTTGCCCTTCCTCATTTCTCTCTGGGATTCTGATAACAAGAGTAGATAGGGTTATCTCTCATGGCCCCAACCCAGCCTACTTCTCTGTGTTCTTACACTCAGGACACCTGGCTTGTAAAATAAATTGGACTGGATGATCTTCACTGGTGGCAACCCCTTTGTTCTGACTAAGGGTGCTCTGGCTCTCCCTAGCTGCCTGCAGGTGCAGGAGATGGTGTTTCAGTCCAAGTGCACACCTGCATTCTGGGGAAAAGAACTGGCAGCCACTCTGTTTGAAAACCAATTCCTCCTCTCTGTTTTGTAATGCTCTGTTGACCTGGATGTCACGGAACACTCACTGCACATTCACAGACGTTCACTGTGCTCAGGGCTGTGGCAGACGCCAGCCCTCGGGGAGTTAGCAGTTAGAAGGGGCAATTCCTCCTGAGACACAGGGGCCTCGTGATCCTGAGGAAGGCGTTCCCGTAGCAGGCAGGGGAGCATCGTGCAGGATGTGGCATTTGAACGTGAACGTGGAGAGACCTACAGATTTCTCTGGTGAAAACTGGAAGGAAAGATACGGAAGAGAAAGGAAATGAGGGGAGTGATGGCACTGAGGTGGGAAGGAATGCAGCTATTGGGCAGGGACACTGTGGGAGAAGCAGGCTGACCCAGCCCAAGGAGAGCCGTGTATGTCACACGAAGGATCTGGCTTTCATTTGCTGTTGTAAAACCAGCTGCTTGGCCACAATTGGGAAGGCTTTAGGGCCACAGTGACAGAGTCTTCTGTCTGTCTTACATTTGAACTCGGTCCAGGAAGCAGGAAGAGGCTAATGATGTTTGAGTGCCTCCCTCTTACCGGCGAGAGAGCCCCCTGAATAGGTTTTCAGTTAATCTTCAGCCAAGATGGCTGTATCCCGTTTCACAGATGAGAACACCTAGAGTTGTTTATGTGACTAAAGACTGGAATCTTCTCCCCCAAGTAGGAAGGCTGTCTTCTCCAGCTATTCGGGAGGTTCCTAGGGTTCCTTAAAAACCTGCTAGGGTAAGATGACATTTATGCTACTGGGCCTTCGGCGAGACTGACCAGGGCCGCCTCAAGGTCACTTTCATCTGAGGATAGCCCAACACCCACCCACCTTTCCTGCCCTCTCCCCTCGCACTGTCGCAGTGCGGAAGCCCCTGGCTCCCCTGCGTGGGCCTCATCACCGTGGCCGGGTGACTGGTCCTCCGTGCACAGAACAGGCTATTGGCGGAGGCGGAGCCCCTCTGCTTTGCAGGCCCTCTCGCTGTGTCTCAACGCTGTCGTCTTCCCAAATCTCCAGCCCCTTACCCTTCCCTCTCACTACATGCTTTTCCCTTCAAGTTTTTAGTGTTCCCCACAAACTGGTGTTGTTTTTTTTTTTTTAAACCTTCTTTGAGTTGTGATACAAAACCTGCTTCATTCTTGGAAATTGCACTGCGCTCCAGACGAACGCAGGCTCTCTGACCTGCTCCCATTTGGATAATTTCTGCGTGCCTCACAGAAATGGGGATTTAGGTTCCAGTACCTGCCTGCAGGTGTGCCCAGTCTTGGAAAGTGCATCTAGCGCTTCCTGGCTGGTGGCTGGAAGCAGGTGTTCCAGAGAGGACGGCTCCACACTCCACACCTGGGGTGAGGGCAGCCAGTGCCCTGTGCTCCCTGTAATCTGAGAACCAGGGCTGCGTGGAGCCCTGAGCTGCAGCCACCGCCGCCGGGCCCTGGGGAGAGAACGGTCAGGCGTTCCCAGAGACACCGGCGCCCAGGAGTGCCCTGATGCTGGACAAGCTGCTGGCACGTCTTTGCACCTCAGTTTTCCTTGTCTGTAGGGGGTGGTAATGAGGCCCACCCCACAGGGTGGCAACAGCTGTCTGGGTGCCAGTGCTTTGGCGCTGTGGTCTGTGGAGGGCGGGGGCTATCCTCGCTGTCATTGTCATTACTAGGGCGACGTGGATGTTCTCAGGCTGACTCTGCAGAGCGAACTGACAGGAGAGGAACTTGAGCACATAGCCCAGAAGGTACTGAGGTTGCGGATGGGGCGAGGTCTCCTCCGCGCTGCCTGCTCTCCTTTCCTGCTGGCGACCCCCGCCCCCCGTGCTGCCTGGGGCCACCTCCGCTGCTGCAAGCTTGGGGGCGTCTCCCCGTGACACGTCCAGCTGCCCTCCGCAGCTCGCGCTGCTTCATGGGAGGGGAGACAGGCGCCCACTAAAATGAAACTAACCTGCGGTGTCTCTTCATTTTCTCCATCTGGGGTTCTCGCGGTGGTGCGGCTTCTGTGGAGATGAATTCCTGGAGTGGAAAATCAGACTAACCATCTTTGGAGGAGCAGGACTTTTGTACCGGCTGAGGGGGGTGCGTCGCAGGCTCGCCCTGTGGTTTCTGAGCCACTTCTGTGTGTGTGTCTCTGGCAGGCGGGCAGGAAGACCTACGCCATGGTGTCCAGCCACGCGGCCGGTCGTTCTCTGGCCTCAGAACTGGTGGAGTCCAACGATGGGCATGAGGAGATCATTAAGGTAAGCGTGCCTCACCTCTACCTCTTCTCTCTCCTGCCTCTGTCCCTGCAGGTGCCGGAGAGGGAGCAGCTGACAGTGCCACAGGGCACTAGCGGTGTGACGGGAAGAACTAGCCCTGAGAGGGTAGGCCCTGCCTACCTCTTGCAGACCACAGTCTGCCTGTAGGGGCCTGGTGCACCCTGGCCCCGGCAGCGGAGGCGGGAGGAGGGGGGGCTGGGACGAGTCTTTCAGGTGCCTGCCCATGGTCCAGGCTCTGCTTCTAGAGGTTATGGAGACAGGTAGGAGGTCTGTTTATAGAACTTTTTTTAAAAAAATGAACACAGGGGCTGCCGCAGTGGGTCACTTGGTTAATCCTCTGCCTGCGGGGCTGGCATCACATGCGGGTGCTGGGTTCTAGTCCTGGTTGCTCCTCTTCCAGTCCAGCTCTCTGCTGTGGCCCGGGAAAGGCAGTGGAGGATGGCCCGAGTGCTTGGGCCCCTGCACCTGCATGGGAGACCAGGAGGAAGCACCTGGCTCCTGGCTTCGGATCGATGCAGCATTCTGGCTGTATCGGCCATTTGAGTGGTGAACCAATGGAAGGAAGACCTTTCTGTTTGTCTCTCTCTCTCTCACTGTCTAACTCTGTCGAATAAATTTAAAAAAAAAAAAAAGAACGCAACTGGGGTAAGCGTTTGGCACAGTGGTTAAGATGCTGCTTGGAATCCCTTCATCCCATATGGGAGTTGCCTAAGACCGAGTCTTGGCTCTGCTTCTGATTCTGGCTTCCTGCTGATGCAGACCCTGGGAGGCAGTCGTGACAGCTCAAGTACTTGGGTCCTTGCTCCCCATGCGGGAGACCTGGATAGAGTTCCTGACTCCTGGCTGTGGCCTGGCCCAGCCCCAGCTTTGTGGTCGTTTGGTGAACCAGAGGCCAGAAGATCTCTGTCTGTTTCTGGCTCTCCACCTTTCAAATAAAATACATTAAGAGGTTTTCATTATCTTATTTATTCACTTATTTATTTATGAGGCAGAGGGAGAGAGAAACTGAACTTCTGTTTGCTGGTTTACTCCCCAAGTGCTTGCAGTAGCCATGCCTGGGCCAGGCACTCGCACTGGGTCTTCCAAATGGGTGGCAGGAACCCAGTTACTTGAGCTATCATTACTGCTACCTCCTGGGATCTGAATTAGCAGGAAGGTGGATTCAGGAACAAAGGCCATGTGGGCATCTTTTTTTTTTTTTTTTAAGATTTATTTCTTTATTGAAAGTCAGAATTACAGAGAACGAGAGGTAGAGGCAGAGAGAGAAGTCCTCCATCTATTGTCTCACTCTCCAAACAGCCACAACAGCCAGGGCCAGGAGCTTCATCCAGGTCTCCCATATGGGTGCAAGGCCCCAGGCACTTGGACTATCTTCTGCTGCTTTCCTAGGTTCATTAGTAGGGAACCAGATTGGAAGTAGAGCAGCCGGGACTTGAACCCATGCCCACATGGGATGCCGGTGTTGCAGGTAGTAGCCCTATCCACTACACCTCAGTGCCAGCCCCAAGACATGGGCATCTTAACTGCCCAGCTGAACACCTGTACTTCATTTTTTTTTTAATTTTGATTTTCATTTTATTTGAAAGAAAAAGAAATCTTCCATCACTGGTGCATGCCCCAAATGCTTGCCACAGCCAGGTTTCTAACAGGGCAAAGCCAAGAGCCCAGAATTTAATCCAGGTCTGTCACCTGGGTGGAGGGACCTAAATACTTGAGCCATCATTTGCTGCCCCAAGGGTGCACATTAGCAGGAAGCTGGATTGGAAGTAGAAGAGCTGAGCTGCAAACCAGCCAGAGTGCAGGCATCCCAAACAGCCATTAATTGCTGTGCCAAATGTCTGCTCTTCATTTTTTTTTTAAATAAACAGCTTTTTGAGATATATTCACAGTTGACACAGTTAGCATATACAGTTCAGAGGTTGAATTGCAGAGTTGTGAAACCATCACCATTATTAATTCCAGACCATGTCAGTGACTCCTCCCAGCTCCTGGCTTCTGCCTTTCTTGACTTTCTGGAAGTTTCCTATAAACAGAATCATACAGCATATAACTCTTTGTGTCTGGTTTCTTTCACCTAGCATATTTCTAGAGTTCATCCACGTGGTAGTGTGTGCCAGCACTTACTCTTTTCTATATAACTGCATATACCAATTCAGGGAGCTGGATTGGAAGCGCAACAGTTGGGACTTGAACCAACGCCCATATGGGATGCTGGCGCTGAAGATGGCAGCTAACCTACTGCGCCATAGTGCTGGCCCCATATGGTAACTTTTTATTTAATCTTTTGAGAAACTGCCAGACTGTCTTCCAATGGAGCAGCTGCATTTTACATTTCAACCAGCAATGTATGAGGTTGAAATTCCTCCACATCCTGGCCAACACACTTGTTATCACCTGTCTTCTTGATTATAGCCATTCTAATGGGTGTGGAGTGGTATCTTGTTGTGGTTTAAATTTGTGTTTTATAATTTTCATAATCAAAAATAATGAGCATATTCTTACATGCTTATTGTCCATTTGTGTGTCTTCTTGGATTTACTAAAATCCTTTGCTCATTAAAAAAAATCCAGTTGTCTTTTAATTTCTGAGTTAGAAAGATTTTTTTAAGATTATTTATTTATTTATTTATTTACTTATTCGAGAGGTAGGGTTACAAAGAGAGGGAGAAACAGCTGGAGCTGAGCCGATCCGAAGCCAGGAGCTGGGAGCTTTTTCCTGGTCTCCCACATGGTGCAGGGGCTCCTACTGCTTTTCCAGGCCATAGCAGAAAGCTAGATCGGGGCCGGCGCCGCGGCTCACTAGGCTAATCCTCCGCCTAGCGGCGCCGGCACACCAGGTTCTAGTCCCGGTCGGGGTGCCGGATTCTGTCCCGGTTGCCCCTCTTCCAGGCCAGCCCTCTGCTGTGGCCAGGGAGTGCAGTGGAGGATGGCCCAGGTGCTTGGGCCCTGCACACCATGGGAGACCAGGAAAAGCACCTGGCTCCTGGCTCCTGCCATTGGAGCCACAGCGCGCCGGCCGCGGCGGCCATTGGAGGGTGAACCAACGGCAAAGGAAGACCTTTCTCTCTGTCTCTCTCTCTCACTGTCCATTCTGCCTGTCAAAAAAAAAAAAAAAAAAAAAAAAAAGCTAGATCAGAAGAGGAGCAGCTGCAACAAACTGCTGCCCATATGGGGTGCTCATGCTGTAGGCGGAGGCTTAGCCTACTATGCCACAGCACCGGCCCCAAGATTTCTTAATATGTTCTGGATATAAGACACATTAGATATACTTTGCAAATATTTTATGAGGCTGGGCCAGGCCAAAGCCAAGAGTCTGGAACTCCATCCATCTGGGTTTCCCACGTGGGTGGCAGGGGCTCAAGTACTTGGGTCATCTTCCGCTGCTTTCCCAGGCACATAGGCAGGGAACTGGATCAGAAGTGGAGCAGCCAGGTCTCAAAAGCAGCTCTCCAAAATGGGATTTTGTACCATAGTGCTGGCCTCCAAAAGTTTTTTAATTCTAACAATGTTCAGTTTATTTTTTCTTTTATTGATTTTGTTTTAGTGTCATATCTAAGGCTTTGTCTAACCTAAGGTCACAAAGAGTTATTCCTGTATTTTCTTCATGGAGTTATAGTTTTAGCTCTTATGAATAGGTCTATAATCCAGTTTCAATTAAGTTTTGGGGATGGAATGAGAAGGGGTTCAGCTTTGTTCTTTGGCTTCTGGATACCCAGTAGTTCTAGCACATTTTTTGGAAAAGACAAGTCCCTCCTTCCCCCACCCCCACTATGTCCTTACGTGGTTACCACACTATTTTGATCCCCTTAGCTTTGAATTAGTTTGAAACTGGGAAATGGGAGTCTTTCAACTTTGTTCTTTTTCAAGCTTTTTTTGGCTATTCAGGGTTCCCTTCATTTTTCACATGAATTTTGGAATCAATTTTTTCAAAGAAGCCAGCTTGCATTTTGATAAGAATTATGTTGTATCTCATCAGTCAGTGTGGGGAATAGTGCCATCTCGACACTGAGTCTTCCAGTCTATTGAAGTGGGATGCTTTCTTTCTTTCTATTTTTTTTTTTTTTAAGATTTTTATGTATTTATTTGACAGGCAGAGTTAGACAGTGAGAGAGAGACAGAGAGAAAGGTCTTCCTTTTGCCGTTGGTTCACCCCCTAAATGGCCGCTTCGGCTGACGCTGTGCTGATCCAAAGCCAGGAGCCAGGCGCCTCCTCCTGGTCTCCCATATGGGTGCAGGGCCCAAGCACCTGGACCATCCTCCACTGCCCTCCCAGGCCACAGCAGAGAGCTGGACTGGAAGAGGAGCAACCAGGACAGAATCCAGCGCCCAAATGGAACGCTGGCGCCACAGGCGGAGGATTAACCTAGTGCACCATGGTGCCGGCCCCTTTTCTTTCTTTCTTTTTTTTTTTTAAGGATTTATTTTATTTATTTTTTGAAGATTTATTTATTTGAAAGGCAGAGTTTTAGAGAAGCAGAGGCAGAAAGAGTGAGAGAGAAAAAAGTCTTCCAACCACTGGTTCACTCCCCAAGTGGCCACAATGGGTAGAGCCAAAGCCAGGAGCCAGGAGCTTCTCCCATGTGGGTGCAGGGGCCCAAGGACTTGGGCCATCCTCTACTGCTTTCCCAGGCCATAGCAGAGAGCTGAATTGGAGGAGGAGCAGCCAGGACTCGAACTGGCTCCCATATGGGATGCTGGCACTACAGACGGCAGCTTTACCTGCTACACCACAGCACCGGCCCCAGGATGGTCTCTCTCTCTCTCTGTCTTTTATTTCTTTCAACAGTTTTCTTTTAATGTTTGGAGTACACACCTTGGACTTTTGTTAAATTTGTTTCTAAGTTTTCTTTTTGGTGCTATTGTAAATAGAATTGGTTTCTTAATTTCATTTTTGGACTGTTCCTTGCTAGTATACAGAAATGTGACTCCGTTTTTATATTAATATTGTGCCCTTCAACCTTAATGAGTTTGTTTACTAACTTTATAGATTTTTAGTGGATTTCTTAGGATGTTCTATATATGAATACAAGATTAGGTCATCTGCAAATGGAGATAGTTTTGCTTCTTTCCTGTCTGAATGCCTTTAAACAATTAATTTTTGTTACTCAAAGTCGTTGCATGTCCCGGAAGAAAATAAAACTAACCCATCATGCTATCAATGTAGCATTGTTAACATATTTGCCTGTATCCTCCCACCTTCATACGTATGTATTTTTAAAAAAACTTTTATCATTCAGTCTGTTCTACAACCTGCTCCCCACAAACACACCCTTTAATTATAATGTCATCTGTGTCTACACATGTAAAGATTTGGCATTTTAATATGCTCCTTTCTATTCTATTCTAGACTTACCATAATTTGTTTAATTATTCACCCGTTGTCGAACATTTTGTCTGTTTTCACTTTTTGCAGAATATGTGATATTCTGCTGAATACTAAATTGTGTGTGTGCTTTAAAATATAAATGACAGGAATATTTTCTCAACTGTAAGAGATTCAAGCAGTTAGAGCAGAGTATTTGAATCCCCTGTTAGAGCCCTTGCTGCAGGAGAAGGAGCAGTGACTTGGAGTGTCCTCCCCTTTCCGTGGTTTTACCTGCGCTCTGCCTACTTGTGCCAGTATAGCTGTGTATCCTTGAGCTAAATGTATTCATTGGAAGTTTCCAGAAGTAGCTTTGATACGGTCAAAAAGTTAGCATTTTATATTTTCAGCCTTCTAATCTGAATCACTGCACTGTCACCTAGTAAACTGGTGGTAATAGTTTACCTGCTACCAGCAGTGTGTTTGTATGAAATTAATTTGACTGGTGGTTCCTGAACTACATGGAGTTGCCTTCCTTATTCCAGGTGTACTTGAAGGGGCGGTCTGGAGACAAGATGACCCATGAGAAGAGTGTTAATCAGCTCAAGAGTGAGGTCCAGTATATCCAGGAGGTAGGCGTCCCTGCCTTGGAGGGGCATCCACACCATTTCTGTAAATCTCATAGTTTTTGGGCTTCCTTTTTTTTTTTTTTTTTTGGTTTAAGATTTATTTACTTGAAAGGCAGAAAAAGAGAGAGAAAGAGAAACAGAGATCTTCTATCCGCTGGTTTGCCCCCAAATGGCCACAGCAGCCAGGGTTGTGCCAGGCCAAAACGAGGAGTCAGGAACTACATCCTGGTCTCCCTCATGGGTGGCAGGGATCCAAGAATTTGGGCCATCTGCATTAGCAGGGAGCTGGATCGGAAGTGGAGCAGCCAGGATTCGAGCCAGCATTCCAGTGGGATGCTAGTGTCGTAAGTGACAGCTTAACCCACTGTGCCACGACACTGGCTCCTAGCTTCCTTCTTTTATGGGTTCTGTGCTCCCTTTATATCTCTGAAATGCCACCATGCTCTCCCATTTTTTACCCTTTTAGTGTAACCCAAATCAACAAATACTCATAAAGTAGCACCTGCCTAGCACCATCTCCCAGCCATCCAATCAGACTGTCAGCCACTCTCCCCAGCACTCCCTAACCCTCTGGCAGGCTCATGTGTCTCCTTGGCACATAGCACCATATCAGGATGTAAGGCACTACACATTTTACTCGTGTCTTATGTGAGTGTGTCTCCCCAGCTAGAACATTCACACCGGCAGGGCAGGGGTTTTGTTTACTTTGCTGTTTATGGAAGAGGTATAGGTGGGCATGAGTTGGTGTCCTCTGTCCCTCCCCTAAAACTCAAGGCTCTTGTCCTCCCTCCCAGGCCAGGAACTGTCTGCAGAAGCTCCGGGAGGATATAAGCAGCAAGCTGGACAGGGATCCCGGAGACACTGTCCACCGACAGGAGATCCAGGTAATAGGCCGTGGTCCTGGCTGGCTGCCTCTGAAGAGCAGGGGGTGTACCAGGCAGTCCCGTTTGTGTCTCACTGCTGTGTGCCAGCTCCGCCCCCACTGCCTGGAAGGGAGAGGATGCGCGTGATGCTGGCTGTTCTGAGCGCTCACCATCTAGTTAGGGCTGTCCAGCAGACAGGCACTCGCACTTACATTTGTCAACCTGCTCCTAAAACACTGTAGAAACTTTGAATTGATATGAATTAAATTCTTGTGAGTTATTGGCAAAGCATCTTCTCTATAAGGAATCTGTGATCAATCTTCTTGTAATACAGCCTTCTAAAACAGACAGTCCCCTGTAAATCCGAACTTCCTGTAAGTTGCTCTTGCTTAATTTGGAGCCTGGCTTCTAGCAGGTGCCCATGGCTGTCCCTAGCCTGGGACAGAGCTTAGGGTTCACCCCTACCTCCCAGCCCGCCACCATCTCTGTATCCCCACACCTGGCCCCGGGTCTAGGATACAGAAGATATAGATAAACACCTGTCAGACTGGACAGATTGGAAAAGTCCTTCCAGAGCTGGATAATCCTGGCATCCTGGCATCCTGCCTCTCGGCTTTGACAAAAGTGGAGGACAGGAGCATCCTTAGGAGAGAAGCACGCCCTCTGTGACTTCCCCTCACCCTCCTTAGGTTCCCGGCTGTGCCTCCGTCATTTACCTTTTGGTTAGGGTACAGTCATGTTTTCACAGTAGGCTCACCCCAGAATCCCCTGCAGGGAGACGGTGTCCTGCACTTGGGACCAAACAAGTTCCTCTCTGTCCTGGGCATGCGCCGGGCTTGTGCGGCCAACGTTCTCCAAGTCGTCCTGCTTCTCCAAAGGAAGGCAGGGAGGTGCTTTGTCAGGTGACTGCTCAGAGAGGGGCCCCTTGTTTGCCCAGATCAGCAGCATGGGGTGGAAAGAACTGTAACCAGAGCACTTCCGCTTTTGGTCTAGGCTTTGTCAAACCTTGTCAGGATCCCCGAGGGCAAGGCAGACGGCAAGCAGCTGCCTGTGCTCCTCCGGTGAATTTTTCCGGGAATGGTCTACTGGAAAAGTTGTAGCCTGAGGGTTGCCTTCCTCCTCCCTCCCCAGGCCACACGTGCAGGCATCCTCCACCCCTCCTGGCTACTGTCTTTCCATGGAGCACTGGGGGTCCTTACCCCCTCCCTTCCTTCATCCCTCCTGCTTCTAAGATGTGAGGTCTTGGGAAAATAATGTTTCCGAGTTGATCACGCTGGTCTGTTTTAACTACCAGTTTTGTTTTTCTCTGAACAGGTGGTGCTGGACAAGCCAAACGGCTTGAGTCAGAGCCCCACGGCCCCATGCAGCAGCCCAGCTGAGGTAGGCCGCAGAGTGGACTCTGGTGACTGCTGCCTGGCCGGGGGCAGGACCTCCTCCTTGACCTCTGTCCCCTCCCTCCCTCTCCCTCTCATCACTAAGTACTTCATACAGTATGTGAAAAATGTGCACTATTTTTTTTAAGATTTATTTATTTATTTGAAAGTCAGAGTTACACAGAAAGAGGAGAGGCAGAGAGAGAGGTCTTCCATCCACTGGTTCACTCCCCAGTTGGCCACAATGGCCAGAGCTGCACCGATCCAAAGCCAGGAGCCAGGAGCTTCTTCTGGGTCTACCATCTGGGTGCAGGGGCTCAAAGACTTGGGCCATCTTCCACTGCCTTCCCAGGCCATAACAGAGAGTGTGATCGGAAGTGGAGCAGCTGGGACTCGAACTGGCACCCATATGGGATGCTGGCACCGCAGGTGGCAGCTTTACCCGCTATGCCACAGCGGCTGTCCCTGTGCATTATTATTATTATTATTTTTTGACAGGCAGAGTTAGACAGTGAGAGAGAGAGACAGAGAGAAAGGTCTTTCTTCCATTGGTTCACCCCCCAAATGGCTGCTATGGCCGGCGCGCTGCGCCAATCCAAAGCCAGGAGCCAGGTGCTTCCATCTCCCATGGGGGTGCAGGACCCAAGCACTTGGGCCATCCTCCACTGCTCTCCTGGGCCACAGCAGAGAGCTGGACTGGAAGAGGAGCAACTGGGACTAGAACCCGGTGCCCATATGGGATGCTGGTGCTGCAGGTGGAGGATTAACCAAGTGAGCCACGGCACCAGCCCCTGAATATTATATGTTAAATACAACGTATTAAGCATGCCATATATATAAATGTATGTAATGTGTACGTACTTTTCACAGACACAGGGTCATGGTGAATACATTATTCCTTGCTTGTTTTAATTTTTTTTTAAATGAAGAATGTATCATATATAGTCTTTTTTAAAAATTTATTTATGTATTTGAAAGTCAGAATTACACACAGAGAGAGACAGAGAGGCAGAGAGAGAGAGGTCTTCCATCTGCTGGTTCACTCCCCAATTGGCCATGACGGCTGGAGCTGCGCCTGTCCAAATCCAGGAGCCAGGAGTTTCTTCCGGGTCTCCTACATGGGTGCAGGGGCCCAAGGACCTGGGCCATCTTCTGCTTTCCCAGGCCATAGCAGAGAGCTGGATTGGAAGTAGAGCAGCCGAGACTTTTAAAAATGATGTTTGTTTTATTTCTTATGCTGATATAATAAGACATGTGTATTATTAGGGAAATTATTATTATTGAGAAATTCAGAAACACAAAAAGTGAAAGAATAAAAAAATACCAATTTTAATCTACCTAGAAAAATAGCCAATTTGGCAACATTGAGATTGTCCTCTACATAGCATTTGCTTTCTGTTCCCTTTGGTTGGGTATCTGGGGGCCGGTGTTTTTGACTTCCATGAGTCCTGGCCCAGCGTCACCGCGAGTCCCCCCAGGCCCTCCCAGAGCTTTCCCTGGCTGCAGTTCATGTGAGGGACCGTGCTGCATTTTTTTCTCCCCAACAGTATGCTTTCAGCATCTATTTTCATTGCTAAATGCAAATCTAGTTTATTGTTTCTATGTCCTACATGTAAAAAGTTATAATTCCTTTTCCTTCATATCGTGAGATTATATTTTCATCAAAAAATTTCCATGCCATTACATAGTCTAATGAGAACACTATTTGAAATAAATATTTATGGTCCAGGAACCTTTGTAAAAAAAAAAAAAAAAAAAAAAAAAAAAAAAAACCACCTCAGCAGCCTTGGTGAGGATATAGGTAATTAACCAGATAACTTACTGACATCTAGACTTAAAAGGTGATTCAAGCTACTTGTTCTGGATGTGCAGTTTCAATGTTTCCTTTCCTTTGAATCACCGTATTTGGCAAATACATCGTTGGCAACAAATTATAATAATAACTGGTGAAATCCTTCCAGCCTTTCTTCTCAGAGCTCAAAGCTCCACCTGATGTTATCTCGCCTGTTTCTGGGGCTGCCCGTGGGGCATCTTCTCACTGTTTCCATGAGGAAGGGAAAGCCAGGCCCACAGCACCCGGGAGTGCAGCCACGGGGACCCTGCCAGCCCCCTCCGACTCTGCGTTGGAGGTGCTGCTTCTCCCTGCTGTGCGAGACAGGGAGAGATTTTTCTGGCAGACTCGCAGGGAGTCTGGGGCCTGTGCAGCAGAGGTGGGGCAAGCCCCTACACGTCAGCGGAGCCCTAAGCACCAGCCCACGGTTGGGTGTGTCTGGGAGAGAGACGGAGCAGTAACCTCGATGAGACACCTTTTTCCACAGCTGGATCCCTGCACTCCCTTGGGTCCTTTGGCCCTAAACTTGTCCGTCCGTCAGTAACCCTTAATATGCCGGTCTCCCTGCTGCGGGCTGAGTAGCCTTTATGTACGTGGCTGGAGGCTGCTCCTCTGTGATGGGTGTGGCCCAGGCCCTGTCCTTGGAGAACCCGCTTCCACCAGTCTGATGGAGGGAAGGCAGCAGGACAGCCAAGGCGGAGACACGCGCCTGTTACGAAACCCTTTGGGTGGTAGGCGTGAGAGTTGCTGAGCATGTCCTGAGTCGGTTGGGTGACTTGAGGCTAGCTAAGTTCTGTCCTTGGGGAGGGAGAATGTTCTGCACTTGAGTAACTCAGGTTTCTTGGCTGCTTCAGACTCACCCTCTCCTTGTGCAAGTGGCGCCAACCACGGCGTGCTGGGGAGGGGACCTTGTCTTACAGTGTCACAGATAGGGTGGCCTCACCTCCCCTGTTCTTTTCTGGTTGGAGGCGGACCCCTACACAAACGAAGGCGTCGAGAGCTTGAGGAGGAGCGTGCGGGACTTGAATGCCAAGCTGCAGGAGGCTGAGCGGCAGCACCAGGCAGACCGCGTGGCTTTTGAGGTGAGGTCTGGGGCGCAGGGAGGGGGTGCCCCAGGGGATGGGCTACTGGAGGCAGGTGCCAGTGACTTTCCCAGAGTGGAATTCTTGTCTTTCTAGCTGGGAGCCACCGTCTGCAAAGGCAAGGCTTTGAGGCCCACAGCTCTTCCTGTCTGCTTTTTTCTCTCCTGGACATTTATAGTGTGTGCGGTCTGTGTCTGGCCCACAGTTCAAAGATGAGCTCTCTCTATTTTTTTTTTTAATAAAGATTTTTTATTTATTTGAAAGGCAGAGTTACAGAGAGAGACAGGGAGAGGCAGAGAGAGAAAGAAAGAGAGGGATCCTCTATCCTCTGGTTCACTCCCAAAAATGGCCTCAACAGCTAGAGCTGAACCAGGCCAAAACCAGGAGCCAGGAGCTTCATCTGGGTCTCCCACTTGAGTGCAAGGGTTCAAGTACTTGGTCCATCATCTGCTGCTTTCCCAGGCCGTTAACAGGGAGCTGGATGGGAAGTGGAGCACATGGAACACGAACCAGTGCCCATACAGGATGCCAGCACTACAGGTGGCCATTTAACCCGCTGTGCCACAACACCGGCCCCAAAGATCAGCTCTTGATTCTCTGCTCTACTGAAGTTGACAGGTAGCACTGGTCTGGCACAGCAGGTGTTCAGAAGTCCTTTCTGTGTGAGCTCTAAGGCTCCATGCGGGCAAGGACGTTGGCTGTCGTCACCACTGACTTCGCAGTGTCTGCTGCTTCCTAAGCGTGAACTGTACAATGAATGAATCTGTGCTGTAGAAAGAAGGGCGGCCAAGGAATCAGAGGACTTAGCCTCACTATGTGGAGGTCTGTGATAGTGTTATAAAAGTAACTGATTTTTTTTGAGACTATGTTATTATGGAAATTTTTTTAAAAATACAAATTTATAATTAGAGAATAGAAGCTCCCTACTATTAAAAGTATTTGAGGTCTTCCATACTTTCTAGAAAATTATTTCAGTATAAAATGAAGTACACTGGCAGTTTTTTTTTTTTTTAAGACTTTTTCATTTGAAAGGCAGAATTTAGAGAGAGAGAGAGAGGTCTTCCATTCACTGGTTCACTCCCCAAATGACCACAACAGCTGGAGCTGGGCCGGTCCAAAGTCAGGAGCCAGGAGCCTCTTCCGGATTTCCTGTGTGGGTGGCAGAGGCCCATGTTCTTGGGCCACCCTCTACTGCTTTCCCAGGTGCATTAGCATGGAGCCAGATAGGAAGTGGAGCATTCAGGACTCGAACCAGCGCCCATATGGGATGCCAGCATGGCAGGCTGTGGCTTTACCCACTACACCATGTCACTGTCCCTGCGAGGCAGTTTTCTAACTACGCTACGTGAGATTAGCCATCTGTTACCTGCTGTTGTTCATTCACAGTGCGGTGTTTTTGATGTCATAATTATGTTATGGGAGCATTGAGTGCTGCCTAGGCATGCTAGGAGCCAGTGGAAGAGGAAGGTCAACCTGAGCTCTACTTTGCCCTGGAACGTTCTGAGAAGAGGGGAGTGCTGGAGAAAGGCACTGCGAATGATAAAACTGTGTCCAGGGTAAAGTCTTATTTCAGCGATTTAACCTAAGCATTGGTTTCAACTTTTGCAAAAAAACATGAAATACACATCACACTTGGACTGAGGGGAGAATGCGAGAGCACTTTATGACTAAAAGATTTTACAAATATAAGTTATTGTATGTTTTCTGATCAGTTTAATGAGTAGCTTCTCCTATTGTATGTGTTTTAGACTGAGGGTAATACTAAGGTTAGTTTGTGGATTTAGCCCAAAGTAGCTATGTAGTAAAGAGTTACATCTATTTCTTTTTAAAGATTTATTTATTTATTTGGAAGGTAGCATTATAGAGGCTGGAGGGGAGAGAGGGGGAGGGAGAGAGAGAGAGAGAGAGAGAGAGAGAGAGAGAGAGAGAGAGAGGTCTTTTACCCGCTGGTTTATTCCTGAAATGGCCACAATGGCCAGAACCAGGCCACTCTGAAGCCAGGAGCCAGGAGCTTCTGGGTCTCCCACATGGATGCAAGTGCCGAAGCACTTGGGCCATCTTCCACTGCTTTCCCAGGTGATAGCAGAGAGCTGGATCAGAAGTGGAGCAGCCGGATCTCAAACCCATATGGGATGCCAGCACTGCAGGGGGCAGCCTAACCTGCTAGGCCACAGTGCCGGCCCCACTGCATCCACAGTTTGGATGATTTGGTTGGTGATGTATCAGTTTGGTCATCAGCGGTTCCCACACGTTAGAAACAAAGCAGGAGGAAGGGGCGGGTGAGGCCAGAGGCTATAGCACTGACTAGGTTGTGAATACTGCAAAGAAATCTGCATTTCCAGGCATTATGAAGTTGCAGAAATTCCAGAAATACTTTCTGGCTTTGACCACACACAAAGGGCTTGAGGGATCTGATCCACTGCTCTGGATTCCAGAGCCTGAGCAAAAATGCCCTAAGTCATAGGCCTGGAAGGCTCCTGACAGCTGTCCCCCACTGCCCATGGCTTAGAAGGGGGCTCTTCTCGGGGTGGACGTCAGACACCTATATCCCATGGCAGAGTGCCGGGGTTCAGTGCCAGCCTGCGGCTCCTGACCCCTGCTTCCTACTACCGCAAACCCTGGGGAGCAGCAAGGATGGCTCGAATGATTGGGTTCCTGCCACCCACATGGAACACTGAGGTTAGGCTCCTGGCTCCGGGCTTTGGCCTCAGCCCAGCCCTGGCCATTGTGGGCATTTGTAGTGTGGACCAGTCCCTGGGAGCATTGTCTGTTTTTCTGCCTCTCAAATAAGTAAATAAATCTTAAAAAAAAAAAAAAAATCTGCAGAAGGGGTTGTTCTCTTTAACCCCATGGTTAGAGAACATGGCCCGCATCCACCGGCCATAGGGAGTGCCCACAGGGCTGTCCCCACTGCTGGATTGGATGGCACCCCCTCGCACAGTTAAGGAGTTCCTTTGGTGGCCAGACTGGCTGGAGCTACAGGGACTGATGTGAAAAGGGAGTTTATTTTGTTTTCTCCTGAGGTTTATGATTCTCCGGCGGAGTGGGAAGATAGGAGCAGGGAGAGGGTTTCGAGCACTGGACCATGTTTTTGTTAAGACAAGTTCTGAGCACACGTCAGCTGGCCATGGTGTTTATGTCCAGAAAGTGAGGGCCCTTGCTTTTAACTTCCCGCCCATGGAACTGGTCCGTTTCAGGCCAGCGTGGGTCACTTAGTGCAGTTCTCTGTCTCTCCTGGTGAGCTGGACTCTGCGGTCCACCTTTCTGAATGTGGGAGAGGAAGGGCAGGGTTGTCAGTTACCATGAAAACAACCTGCCATTAGCGTGGGTTTCCTGTTGGACCCGCTGCTTGCTGTCAGGGAGGACTTGCAGTGAGTTTGCTGCGGACACGTCCTGGCACACGCCGCCCTGTGTGGTGCTTCTCCTCCCTGAGTCTGGCTTCCGGAGGAGCTAGACGAACTGGCAGCTGCCTTCTGCTTCCCAGGCCTGGCTAAGCATTCCACAAGTGACTGCTTCTCCACCACTTTTTTTTTTTTTTTTTTTTAGTTTTCTGCAGCAGCAGTGGCTCCTTTCCCTTTGATTATCATCTGGGTCACAGCACTGTGCAGCTCCCCTCCTGAATTTATTTTTTAATGCTTAAAAATTATTTTTTTAAAATTTATTAGAGAGACAGAGACAGAGAGCACCCTCATCCACTGGTCACAATAGCCAGGACTGGCCGGGGCCAGAAGCCAGGAACTCAATGCAGATCTCCCTGGTGAGTGGCAGAGACCCAGTTACCTGAGCCATCGCTGCTGCCTCTCACAGGGTCTGCATTCGCAGGGCGCTGGGATCAGGAGTTAAACAGTTAGAACATCCGACGTGGGTTGCAGGCATCCTAACTGCTAAACACACCCTCCTGCCCTGTATGCAGTGAGTCAGCGTGGGAAGCAGGGGAGCCCTGGAACAGAGGGCGAGTGGCTGAGTCCCAGGACCGGCTCTGTCATTCACCAGCCATCAAACCTTGAAGAGCTCAGTTGAGCCGCTTGTGAGAGGAAAGGTCTGGACTAGATGTACATCAGCTCCGTTGGTGATTCTATCTGACAGTTACTGAGAGTTCGGTCCCGTGCAGACAGCTGGAATGCAATGGCACTCAAGGTCTACGCCATAGTGAAGCCGGCAGGCGGCACTGGTCTGGCTGCACACAGTGCCTGGGCAAAATCTGCTCCGTGCTGCAAGACGGATGGGCTGTGAGTCCTCTGGGGGTTCCTGCCAAGGCTCCCAGGGCTCCCCTGCTCCCTGGGAGTAGGGGAGACTGAAAGAGACCTGAAGAATTAGTAGGAGTGGTCCCAAGGTAGGTGGGAGAAAGGAGTGAGGCAAGTTCTTAACTTGACTTTCTCATGTTCAGGTTCTCAACTTCCTTTCCAAAGTGGTCTCTTAGCTTTGATAAAAGACAAATTCTTCCTAGGGCTCAGTAGCTCTGCCGGGTGCCCCTTTGGCCTTTGTATGTGGGCTCTCAAGAAAGTGAGGAGGAGTAGGGAAAACAAGAGGAAGGGGGAGGAAGGCCGTATCTCTTCATCAACTGCTTACTGCTGCACCATTAGGAAAGCCACAACCTGGGCTGAGCGTGAGTGGCACTGGAGGATTCAGGCAGGGTTGAAGTCAGCCAGCCCAACCGAAAAGCAGTGCTGGTGGCTTCCAAAGTGGAGCAAGCAGGGTGGGCATTTGGCGCAGTGGTTAGATCGCCACGTCCCATGTCAGAGGACCTGGGTTCGAGTGCCGCCTCCAATTTCAATCCAGCTTCCTGCTAATAAGCATCCTGGGAGGGAGCAGATGGTGGCTCAAGCACCTGGGTCTCTGCCACCCACATGAGAGACTCAGATGGAGTTTCAGACTCCTGACTTCAGCTTGGTCAAGCCCTGGCTGTTGCAGGCATTTGAGGAGTGAACCAGTGGATGGAAGATCTCTTTCTGTTCATCTCTCTGTCTCTCTGCTATCAAATAAACAATGAAGATAAATAAATCGGTCAGCAAAAATTTAAAGTGGAGTAATCAACTATGTGCCAGTTACCTTGGAAATGTTTGGTCTGCTGGATTCCCGCACAGGAAGGGAGGGGACCACGTACTCGTCAGAGTTGCCTCCTTTTCCCACCAGAAGCCCAGGGTTCTTTTCTATGGTTTTTGTCCACACTAACTCTTTTTTTCCACCGTCATTGAATTTTTCTGCATCCTGTGTCATAGGTCACACTCAGCCGGTACCAGCGAGAAGCAGAACAGAGTAACCTGGCCCTTCAGAGAGAGGAGGACAGAGTGGCGCAGAAAGAGGCAGAGATCGGAGAGCTGCAGAGGCGCTTGCTGGGGATGGAGACGGTGATTACTGGGTGGGGGGGTGGTGTCCTGCTTACTGGGGCCCGGGCCCCTGCCCCGGAAGGAGACACATGCTGAACATAGCTGCCCAGGCTGCCCCTGCCAGCAGCTCCGCACAGGCACACGCAACAGCTGCCTCTCGAGGGAAGGCGCCTTGAAAACCTTTTAGCCTTTAAGGAATGGAAAGGTCTTCCATTTAACTTTGGTCTGCTCCTAACCGGAGTGGAGCCCACTGCCACCTCCTGAGGTTCACGTGCAGGTACCCGTTTGGGCCTTTTGCAGACTGCTCCTAAGAAGCTACCTGAGCTGGTTTTGCAGGGCCTGGCGGCCGTGCCTGCAGGTGGACCAGGTCCTCCCTCCCTGCAGCTGGGTGAGGCTGGGAAGTGTCTGTGCCGAGGGTGGGAAGGGCAATCCCTGACAGTGGAGGGCGCCCATCAAACCAGCTTGGCCTGCTGCTCTTTGGCAGCTGTCCCAGGCCCAGCAGGGACTGAGTCCCAGCCCGAGTGCCCATCTCGCTCCAAACACAGACGCTCCTGCCATCTTCTCAGCCGTGATCTCCTTTCCCTTGGCCCACCCAGGAGCACCAGGCTTTGCTGGCAAAAGTCGGGGAAGGGGAGATGGCCCTGGAGGAACTTCGGAGCAAGAACACTGACTGTCAAGCGGAACGAGACAAGTAAGGGCCCTGTTCACTGTGAACTCGGGGTGCAGCCTGCAGCTCCTGTGGTGGCCAGGCCTGGGAGAAAGCTGGTGCTGATGTCAGATCTTACAGCGCTGACTCACAAGGCGCTTGCTCAGGTAGGAGCCCTGCCCAGGGACGAGGCTGCCGTCTCCGGGGAGCTCATTTTCCACAGGGTGCTAACCTAGCGAGAAGGCTTTTCTGGTTTTGGAGCCAATATCAGGTGAGGGTGGCCAAGATCCACTGTTGCAGCCTGTCCTCCCCCAGAGGGCCACCATGCATGTGCGAGGGGACTTCACAAAGTTCGTGGAAAGTGCACATAGGAAAAACGGCAGGGATTTCAACACTTGGTGCACCAAAATTAACTTATCTTTTAATTCCATTTTCTAAGAACCTTTTATTATTATTTCTTTATTTGAAAGGCAGAGGGTGCCAGTGCTGTGGCGTAGCAGTTAAGGCTACCACCTGCAGTGCTGGTATACCATAGGAGTGCCAGTTTGAGTCCTGGCTGCTCCACTTCCAATCCAGCTCTTTGTTATGGCCTGGGAAAGCAGCAGAAGATGGCCCAAGTCCTTGGGCCCCTGCACCCGTATGGGAGATCCAGAAAAAGCTCTTGGATCCTGGCTTCAGATTGGTGCAACCCCAGCCATTGCAGCCATATGGGGAGTGAACCAGTGGGTGGAAGACCTCTCTCTGTCTCTGCCTTTCTGTAAATCTGCCTTTCAAATAAATAAATAAATCTTTAAAAAAAAAAAAAAAAAGACAGAGGAGCTAGGCTGATCCAAAGCCAGGAACCCGGAGCCTACTCCAGGTCTCCTATGTGGGCCCAGGGACCCAAGCACTTGGGCCATCCTCCACTACTTTCCCTGGCGATAGCAGAGAGCTAGATCGGAAGTGGAGCAGCCAGGACTTGAAACAGTGCCCACATGGGATGCTGCACAGCAGGCAGCTGCTTTACCGACTACTCCACAGCACTGGCCCCTCCATGAACCTTTTGAAATGCCATAATATTACCCAGACCAAGTTGGATTTATTCCTGGTATGCAGGGATGGTTCAACATTCACAAATTAATCAATGTGACACATCATATTAACAAACTGAAGAACAAAAACCATATGATTATCTCAATAGATGCAGAGAAAGTATCTGATAAAATATAACACCGTTTCATGATAAAGACTTTAAGCAAATTGTGTATAGAAGGAACATTCCTCAAAACAATCCTGACAGTTTATGACAAATCTATAGCCAGTGTCCTGTAGAATGGGGAAAAGTTGAATGCATTCCCACTGAGATCTGAAACCAGACAAGGAAGCCCACATTCACCATTCTATTCAATATAGTCCTGGAAGCTTTAGGGGATCCAAAAGACTCCACTAAGAGACTATTGGAACTAATGAAAGAATTTGGTTAAGTGGCAGTATATAAAATCAACACACAAAAAACAACAGCTTTGTATACACAAACAATGTCATAGCTGAGATGAACTTCTAAGATCAATCCCATTCACAATAACTACCAAAAGAAAAATCAAATACCTTGGAATAAATTTAACAAAAGAGGTCAAAGATCTCTACAGTGAGAATTACAAAATATTAAAGAAAATATTAAATAGAAGATACAAAAAAAAAAAAAAAAGAAAAGAAAAATCTTCCATGTTCATGGATTGGAAGAATCAATATCATCAAAATGTCCATACTACCTAAAGGAATTTACAGATTCAGTGCGATACCAATCAAAATACCCAGGACATTCTCAGATCTAGAAAAAATGATGCTGAAATTCATATGGAAATGTAAGAGATGCCAAATACCTAAAGCAACTTTAAATAACAAAAACAAAGCCAGAGGCATAACAATATCATATTTCAAGACATACTACAGGGCAGCCTGGTACTGGTACAAAAACAGATGAATAGACCAATAGAACAGAATAGAAATCAACCCAAACATCTACAACCAACTTATTTTTGACAAAGGAGCTAAAATCAATCCCTGGAGCAAGGACAGTCTCTTCAGCAAATGGTTCTGGGAAAACTGGATCTCCACATGCAGAAGTATGAAGCAAGACCCCTACCTAACACCTTACACAACATCACTCAAAATGGATTAAAGACCTAAATAAATGACCCAATACTATCAAATTATTAGAGAAAATTGTGGAAAACCTGAAAGGCATTGGCCTAGGCAAAGAGTTCTTGGAAAAGATCCCAGAGGCACAGGTAACCAAAGCCAAAATTGACAAATGGGATTACATCAAAGTGAGAAGCTTCTGCTCTGCAAAAGAAACACTCAGCAAAGTGAAGAGGCAATGACAGAATGGGAGAAATTATTTGCAAACTATGCAATTGATAGAGGGTTAATAACCAGAATATATATATATAAAGAGATCAAGAAACTCAACAACAAAGCAAACAATCCAGTCAAGAAATGGGCAAAGGGCTTAAGCTGGCATTTTTCAGAAGAGGATATCCAAATGGCCAACAGAGACATGAAAAAATGCTCATGATCACTAGCCCTTAGGAAATGCAAATCAAAGCCACAATGAGGTTTTTTTTTTAATTTTTATTATTTTTGACAGACAGAGTGGACAGTGAGAGAGACAGAGAGAAAGGTCTTCCTTTACTGTTGGTTCACCTTCTAATGGCCGCTGCAGCTGGCGCACTGTGGCCGGCACACTGCGCTGATCCGAAGTCAGGAGCCAGGTGCTTCTCCTGGTCTCCCATGCAGATGCAGGGCCCAAGCACTTGGGCCATCCTCCACTGCAATTCCGGGCCACAGCAGAGAGCTGGACTGGAAGAGGGGCAACCGGGACAGAATCTGGCACCCTGACCGGGACTAGAACCCAGTGTGCTGGTGCCGCAGGCAGAGGATTAGGCTATTAAGCCATGGCACCGGCCCACAATGAGGTTTTGCCACATACACACACACAGATACACACACCCTATGAGAATGGCTTTCATACAGAAGTCAACAAACAATAAATGCTGGCGAGGATGTGGTGTTTTTGATACCCTAATCCACTGTTGGTGGGAATGTAAACTGGTAAAGACAGTATGGAGACACCTCAGAAATCTGAATATAGACCTACCATATGACCCAGCCATCCCACTCTTATAAATTTACCCAAGGGAAATGAAATCAGCATATGAAAGAGCTATCTGCACCCCCTATTTACTGCAGCTCACAATAGCTAAGATATGGAATCAACCCAAATGCCTGTCAACTGAAGACTGCATAAAGAAATCATGGTATGTAGATACCACGGAATACTACATAGCACTAAAAAAAAATATGACGAAATCCTTTTTTTTTGGCAACAAAAAAATGGATGAAACTGGAAAACATACTTAGTGAAATAAGCCAGTCCCAAAAGGACAAATATCATATGTTCTCCCTGATCTGTGATAACTAATAGAACACCCCAAAAGTAAATTGTGGAAGTCAAATTAACACTTCAAGAAGCAATGACTTTGAACAGCCCTTGTCTTGATTGTTGAGGAACAGTTTTTTTTTTTTTTCATACGATTTGTGGAACTCTTTACTTAGTATAGGGTTAATCGTATGTGTATAAAGTTAATTAAAAATAGATCTTAGTAAAAAATAAGAATGGGAATAGGAGAGGAAGGAGGAAGAGGGGTGGGAGTGTAGGTGGTAGGGTGGGCATGGTGGGAAGAATCACTATATTCCTAAAATTGTATTTATGAAAATCATGAAGTTTGTATTCCTTAAATAAAAGGTTTCTGGGGAAAAAATATAAAACCTCAATCATGTAAAAAATATACCATCATATTACCCCAGTTTCCACCCCAAGCCCTCCCCCCACCAAAAATCCCGACTCTAATCTCCCTGTGGGTGACACCCACTGGCGACCTCAGGTGGGCTGGTGGGAACTCAGTGTGGGTTGCCTGCGAGACGCTGATCCTCCTTTTCCTGAAGTGATTCAGGTAGAAGCTGAGAAGCACTATACTCCTTTTCACTTCCACAGTTAGAGTCATGCCGATTCCTTGTGGCCAGCAGGGGTCAGAGGCCCCAGACCAGTGAAACCTGCAGGAAAAAAAAAAAATGGCACCTGCTGGCTCCTCAGGAATTTGGAAATTCTTTATGCTGTTGGCCATTAATAAAAAAGTCCTCCAGTGGTAAACCAAATTTAACATCAGCATATGGGGTCTAATCTCCACTGAATGCATAAGTTGAACTTTCTTTTTTTTAGTTCAACAGCCATTACCTGATGGGCCATCTAAGGAATTGCTGGGTTAACAGGCACAGTCCTTGCCTGTCAGGAGCCCTCTGCTGGGGTGTGTTCTGTCTTTTAGGAGAACCTGGATTTGACCTGCCAGGCATGAAAGAAAGGTGCCGACATCTTAGGAGAGCTCTCTTTCTGATCTGACGTCATAGCAGAATCACTTTTAAGTTCCACTTGGCCCGCCGTATCTGTGGGTTCTGTATCCACAGATTCATCCAGCCAACTGAGAATCAAATATTTGGAAAACAAAGAATTACGTCTGACCAAATGTGCACAGACTTCTTTTTCTTGTCATGATGCTCTAAATGATACAACCTAACAACGCTTTACATAGCAATTGCACCGTATTAGCTAACACAAGTAGTCCAGAGATGATTCACATATAAGAGGAGGGAGAGCACCGTGGCGCAGTCAGTTAAGCTGCTTGGGACACCTGCCTCCCATGTCAGAGTGCCAGTTCAAGTCCCCACTACTCCCCTTTGAATCCAGCTTCCTGCTAATGTGCACCCTGGTTGGCAACAGATGACCGCCCAACTGCTTAGGACCCTGCCACCCACGTGGGAGGCCCAGGTGGAATTCTGGGCTCCTGACTTCAGCTTGGCCCAGCGCAGGCTGTTGTGGGCACTGGACTTGTGCACAGGTGGATTTCTGTATCCACAGGGTGAGCAGACCTGAAACCAACCCCTGCACCACCTGAGTGCGGGGAAGGACCTTGCTCACCGCCCCTTCTTCCTCTGTGGTGGAGGAGGTACTCGTGGCAGAGCAAGGGGAGGAGCAAGGGAGACAAAAAGGACTAGATAATCCAGAACCCAGGCTTGGGACTGCCAGCTGACAGCTATGCATCATAAATACTTTTTTTTCTTATGATTTATTTACTTGAGAAGCATAGTAACAGAGAGAGGGAAAGAGAGAGTCCTGTCTTCCATCCACTGATTCACTCCCCCAAGTGGCCTTAATGGCTGGAGCTGGGCCAGTCTGAAACCAGGAACCAGGAGCTTCTTCCGAGTCTCCCACATGGGTGCAGGGGCCCAAGGGCTTGGGCCATCTTCTACTGCTTTCTCAGGCCATCAGCAGGGAGCTGGATTGGAAGAGGAGCAGCCGGGACATGAACTGGTGCCCATGTGGGATGCCGGTGCTGCAGGCAGAGGCTCAGCCACTATACCGCAGCCCCAGCCCCAGAAACAGCATGTTTGAAGTTCTGGGAGTATATGAGGTGGCTCAGATTAAATGGTAGCCCACTGCACCCCAGCCCCACCCATCCTCTTTCAGTTCAATTGTCATCTTCCAGGCAGAGCTGTGGAAAGGTTGGTACCAGCAGTTTTCCAGGGGTCCAAACTCCTGGAATCCCTCCCAAAGGAAAAGTGTCCTCTACTCTAGCTCCTCTGACACCAAATGTGTGGCTTTTCCACACCAAACAATCTTTCGGACTGGCACTGGACTCAGCAGTTTAAACTACCATCTGCAGTGCCAGCATCCCATATGGGCGCCAGTTCAAGTCCTGGCTGCTCCACTTCCAATCCAGCTCCCTGCAAATGTGCCTGGGAAAGCAGCAGAGGATGGCCCAAGTACTTGTGCCCCTGCCACCCATGTGGGCGGCCATCTGGGGAGTGGGCCAGCAGATGGAGGATCCCTCTCCCCTCTCTCTCTCTCTGTCTCTCCCTCTCTCACTGTAACTCTGGCTTTCAAATAAATAAATCTTTAAATAAATTAATTTTAAAAAATAATTCTCTATTGCCATCAACTGGTATCCTACAATTTAGTTCAGTCCTGAGACTACTCAGAGACCGTTCCCATATCAGACACAAGTTGTTAAGTACTGGGTCGAGGGGTACCTGCACTGCTGTCCAACTGGCTGCAAACCGGGGGTTCCCACGGCCTCCTACTCAGGTTTGGTAATTTGCTCTAATGGCTTCTAGGTCCCAGGGAATACTTTATTTACTATTACTGGTTCATTATTAAAAAATCCTAAAGAATTCAGGTGAACAGATGAAGGGCTACATAGGACCAGGTGCAGAAGGGTGCAGGAGCTTCTGTGCCGTGGAGTTGGGGTGTGCCACTCCCTTGGCATGCGGACACATTCACCAGCCTGGATGCTCTCTGAACCCCTTCTGTCACCCCTGAACCCAAGAGTTTGCAAGGGTCTTAGAAGCTGTGTGTTGGAAACTGGGACAGGGACCAAATACCCACGTTGTGTTATGTCACACTGGCCATTGGGTATCTTGGCTCAGTTTGCTTGGAAGATGCAAGGAAGCAGCAGTGGTTTGAGAATCAGGAGACTTAGAAACAGAACTGTGTGAAGACGCTTTAGGGCTCCTCAAATCCTGTCTCCTTCCCCATCATTGTAAAATGCCCGCAGTGTCTCGATGGTGTTGGAGGTAGCAATCCCAGCTTCTTCTGGAATTTTTCAGGTAATGAGCTCATCACACAGGCAGCAGCCCTCTTTCTGGTAACTTTGTTACTGAGGAAGTCTTGCCTTGATGATTCAGACCCCTGGAACCACCACCCACTGGTTCTGATTTACCCTCTAGAGCCTTGGTTTCCTTCTTTGCACTAGATGATCTCAGGATGCTCTGAGGTCCCCTGGAGAGTCATGCTGAGGGAGTCACCCCTGGTGAGGCCCTCCCACGCCCGGGCCCTGCTGTGACTGGTGTGGCCTCAGCCCCCTGGTTCTCTCCCCAGGGCTGCCAGCCTGGAAAAGGAAGTCGCTGGGCTACGGGAGAAGATCCACCACCTGGATGACATGCTCAAGAGCCAGCAGCGGAAGGTCCGGCAGATGATAGAGCAGGTGAGCAGCGTGGGCTCTCAGCCGGCCCGGGTTGTTAGCCCAGGTCCATGCCTCACTTATCTGTCCTCCTGAGGAGCTTAGCTTAGAGCCTCGTGTCTCCTGGAAAACATTTGCAGTTACCAAATACTAGGGGTCTTTGCTTAGGGGATTTGCTTATCTCCCATCTTTCTCCCACTCTTTTTGGCTTTTGCTTGCCAATGGAAAAGGAAGGAAGAGATTAGTCTCCTGCAGACTCTGTGGCGAGTGTTGGTGAATGAATTATTGAGGCGCAGATTATCGGTCTTTGTGCCGCGTAGCAGGTGTCCTGTCTTTCGAGCCTGAGCTTTAGGATAGCAGACTCAGGATGTGCTGGTCTGCAGAACTGTTTGGAGAATGTAAGGCCCCCTATGGGAAGGGCCTGTTGCTTCATGTCGGTCCCATTTCTATCTGTTTTGTTTACTGCTGATTCCCATTCTCTACAGTGGGATCTGTCTTAGAGTCCACATTTGATATTTCTTGAATCAATAAATAATTTGTATTTTCTTAAGCCGACTGCAATGGTTTTGGATCATCCATTATGTATTTTGGATGTTCAAGGTGGTGTTCTCCTCACCCTTCCCCACCCCAGCCCCAGGACAATCCAGAGTTTAATATTAGTTCAGGTGAAGCTTCTGGGGCTGGCACTGTGGCGTAGCGGGTTACGCCATCACCTGCAATGCCGCCATCCCATATGAGTTCTGGTTCAAGACCTGGCTACCCCACTTCTGATCCAGCTCCCTGCTAACGTGCTTGGGAAAGCAGCAGAGCAGAAAGTGGCCCAAAGTGCTTGGGCCCCTGCATCTACGTGGGAGAGGCTCCAGGCTCCAGGCTCCTGGCTTTATCTTGGCCCAGCCCTAGCCATTGTGGCCACTTGGGCAGTGAACCAATGGATAGAAAATCCGTGTCTGTCTGTCTGTCTTTCTCTCCCTCTGTCTCTCTATAACTCTGCCTTTCAAATAAATTAAAAAAAAAAAAAAAAAAAAGTGAAGCTTCCATAGAAAAGCTCATCAGGTCCCTGAGAGTTGCAGGTGCTACCTTTCGCCAACCGCTTCCCCAGCAGCTGGGCAAAGCTTGGCCAGTGTGCAATGAGCCACTGCAGAACGAGCGCCAGCATCTCCTACTACATTTTTGCAGCTCCAGAATTCAAAAGCTGTGATCCAGTCCAAGGACACCACCATCCAGGAGCTCAAGGAGAAAGTCGCCTACCTGGAGGCAGAGGTGTGTGTGCTGGAGGGGGAGTCCTGGCGGGCAGAGGGTGTCTTGATCCTGCTGCTGCTCGGGAGGCAGGCTCTGGGATAGTTGCTTGACACTTGCTTCGGCTGGGTAAACATTTTCTGAGAACCCCAGGGAGTTGCTAACAATGGTGAAACCTGCCCGGGTCATCCTGGTGCAAGCCGCATACCTGGGCAGCACAGAGGCCAGCTCTGCGTTCTGACCTGAGGGAGAGCTTTGCCCAGGAGCTGGCTGACAAGGGGGCTGGGGACTTTGGAGCAGGAGGCCCGGTTAGCTAATGAGTTGTCTGCCTGGTCTAAGGTCCACTCTGCTGCAGGGCATTCCTGTCCAATGACTGTGCAGAGAATGCGTGCAAAGACCCCTTGCAGTGCAGGAGATAAAGGAGAAACAGGGTTGCTTATCTTCAGGGAGTTTGCAGTCCAGGGTTAGCGATAGCATACATTAAAAAAAGAAAGAAAGGAAGACCTAAGGATGCTTTATACAATAGCATATTGACCAAGGCAAGTGGGTAGCTCAGCCGATGACAAGAAATTATATATGGGAAATGATCAGTGTTACCCAGAGTTGTTGAGGAGTAGGGATTGGAGAAAGAGAGCAAGCAAGCAGTCTGTCGTGATGAAAACGAGGGGAGAGGGCACCCGGATGGTGGGAGCAAGAGCGGCATACACAGCTGGAGAGCCTGGAGGGAGCCAGCTAAACGTGACAGGTGGGCAGGCTGGAATAAGGCCCCTCCTAACCCTGTGTTTCAGAATTTAGAGATGCATGACCGGATAGAACACCTCATAGAAAAACAAGTCAGTCATGGCAACTTCAGCACCCAGACCCGGGCCAAGACAGAGAACCTGGGCAGGTGAGTGTACCTGTATCGAGTGGTCCCAGGTAGGAGGGGCAGGGGGGAGAGACAGAGCTTTGTGAAACCTTTCATGCTAAACTAAGGGCGGGGCTCTTTGAAACCCAGCTTGCCTTTCCCGAGCTGCAGTCTGACCCTTTCTCCCCCAGAACCATTTTCTCACCGAGAGTAGAGCCTGATAACCATGAGCTCGAGGGGGCCCCGTGAATGGCTCATAGAGCTGTATGACTGGCCTGAAATTACATGCACACTGCATTTTGTACTACATGCATATTACATAAATGTGTGTGTATGTATTGCCCATCCTTAGAGAGAGGTTCTGTTGCTTCCAGGAGACTCACAGAAGGCACAGAAACTTGGAAAAGGTCAAGAATCACAGCTCTGTGCACTCTTGGTTACTTAACTGCCCCTTCCTTTTCACCACCCCTGCCACCAGACACAAGTGTCCATCCCCACTCCCCAGGCTTCTCTTAGTTGTCCCTGGCTATTGCTGCTCCAGGGCCTGGAGGCCAGCTGGCACTGACGTGTGAGATTCCAAAGGCAGGTGTGGAGGGGAGGCTGTGGGAAGGGAGGGCGACACCACAGCACTCAATCCTTCCACCTTCCTTTCCAGCGTCAGGATATCCAAGCCCCCCAGCCCCAAGCCCATGCCTCTCATCCGCGTGGTGGAAACCTGAGCTGCCGGGAGACGGACGCCGCAGTTGCTGGGGAGAGCCCACCACCCCTGTAGGCTGTTAGCACTGACTTTAACTTCCTTGCTGTTCCCGGCTGCACCCAGGGCTTGCGGCCTCTGCTGGGCAGACTGAGCACGAGCACCTCCTCTGGACACTGCAGCCCTGTGGGAGACCGGATCTGCCAGCAGGAGCCAGGGCAGCATCCTGATTCCCATCATCCACTCTTCTCCCTGTGGCAGAGCCTCTCTTATGTTGCATGGGGGAGTCCAGCTGCCTGAGAGGCAGGCCCTCGTCAGAGCTGGAGGGGTGAGATTGGCACGGATGTCCAGGGGGATGCCAGTGTGTCCTAGGGGAATGAAGTTCCTTCTGCAGACGGCTCGGTTCTTAGCCATGGGCTGTTTTTCTCCCTGCTCCACCCTCTGCCTGTGCTGACCTGGGCCTCCTGTGGGCAGTCAATAAGGGCTTCCCGTTGAGGCCTGGTCAGTCTGTGAACCTGAACCTGAACTTGGACTGCACGGCCTCGTCCTTCTGGGGAGAAGGGGATGTGCATTCAGGGAACAGCTTTTAGCAGAAAGACTCTCCAGGGCCACAGATAGTCAGGTGTGACTTCTCTTTGCCATGGAAGCTTCTAGAATCTCATAGGGTTTTCCCCTAAGGTGCCTCACAAGGCACAACCTCAGCCTTCTTGTCCCAGAGCCTAGAACCTTTCCAGTGGGTCTCCTGAGTCCTGGGAGAACCCTCAGTGTATTTATTTTGCTAAGTTATTGGTGTTTTGCTTTCATCTCCAGAGGGCTCCCCAGCAGAGCCCCACAGGTTTGCTCGACTCTGGGAAAAGTGTTTCCGTTGAACTTGACTTCAGAGCAACTTCGTGATGCATCTTTCTCTCCCTTTCTTCTACCTGCTGCTTCCCCCTTCCTGCCCCAGACTCGCTGTGTGCCTCGGAAGGGCAGGTGCAGTGCCCTGGGCAGTGGGGTCTGAGGGTGTGTTGTTTGGGGGAAGAGGGCAGTCGGACCTCTCGTGCTGGGGCCAGGGCCGGGTTCTTCCCCTGAGCCCTGTGAACTCGCCTTCGAAAGGGGCTCTTTATACTGTAGCTCGTCAGGTTTTCTTTAGGGCTCTTCTTGCAGCCTCAAGAAGTAGATAAGCATCAGAGTGTGGTACCAAAGGAAGCAGAGGGATTAGAAATAAGCATGGATTAAGTGTTCAGGCTCTCCTTGGCTCACAACCAGAAGCCTCGGGTCCGTGCGTTTCTGGGTATCAGAACTGGACTCACGTCCTGGCCTCGTCCACACTGCCCTTCTCGCACTTGGGGCAGTCAGACCAGATGGCCTCCTCACCCCTTCTGGTCCTGATGTGTTCTCTGGCCGTTCTTTGTATGGTGGATTTAATAAATTATGATTATGTGTCTCTCTGACCTCCTGGCCTGCTTTCCTTTCACTTTTGGGGAGGATGAAAAAACGTAATTTGAGTGGAGCCTCCTGATTGGCCACATCTGGGAGGCATGGGCCACCGTGATAGGAGGCCTTGGTGGCGTTCCGGGCGGTCAGGAGCAGCACAGCTCCGTGAACTGAGTCCCCGTGGTAGGAGGTGGCCCCTGCCTTGAGCTCCAGCCCTGCCTGGGGGAGTGTCTTCATTTGTAAAGGGCAGAGGTCCCGCGACCCGGTGGGGAGGTGCCAGTCTGCACTGGAGGGGCGTAACTCGCGCCTTTGGCAGGGATGAAAGGCACTGGAGTGCTGACTGTGCCGGTTCAAGGATCTAGTCTCTGACTCTCCAGGCGTCATTCAATGAGTGCAGTGAGGGTTTTTTCCCCCTTTTCCTTTCTGCCAAGAAGGCAGTTGACTCCAGAGCCAGAGGAGGAGGAGCTGATCTGCACGACCTTCCCGGGCCAACGGCAAGGCAGCCCCTCAGCCCCGGCCCTGCTTGCTTCCTAGTTCCTCTCCAGTTAAGCGTGGCACTTTCTCGCATCCGTTGTCGTCCCCCTGCTGCTGCTCGGCTCATGCGCACTGCGGGCTTCACGATGCATCGAGGCCCTCCTTCCGCTCTGGACCTGGATTTGTCTTTGGGATTTGTCACTGGGATCCCCTCCTTGCTCGCTTGGCAGGCTCCCTTGGCCTGGGGAGATCTAGACTGTGCTTGTTGGCAGGATGGAAGGAGGGTGGGGTTGGCTCAGGTGCCAAGAACACTGGCTAGGCTGCAGGAGCCCGGGAGTGGGAGGCTGTGCTGTGGGGCCTCCTGGGCTTGGGGCGGGGGGAGGGATGGAGGGGTGGCGGAGACTTGGGGTGGAGGTAGTGAGATGGTCTGGAGGCTTTCCCGAGCCTGGGACCCTGGTTCCAAGAAATGCTTTGGACAAACAAATGCCTCTGGTTCTGTTTCCCAGAGTTCAATTATGCCACTGCCAAAAGGAACAGGGGCCCGGCCCAGGGGCGAAGGAGCTCCCTGGGACGCGAAGTCACTGGGGAACAAGCAGCTGACATCTTGACCATGTCTTCAATTAGAGATGGAGGAGGGGGACAGCACGCAGGGCCTGGCTTCCCCAGCCTGGTCGTGTGTTTCGTCCCTGCGAGGCCAGCTCCTCTGCGCTGCTCTTATGCTTGCTGGAAGGAGGGTTGTGTCGGCTCCCCGGGACCTCAGCCACGCAGGCCCACGTCTGTGAGCTGGCCGTGTAGAGCTGCCCGGACACGCAGCAGAGCGTCGGCCTGACGAGGGGAGCAAAGCCGCAGCGGCCTCCTTGCCTCCTGGACAGCTGCCTTCATTGGTTCCTGCGCAGAAACTAGCCCAGCAGTGACGTGGCACTGGGACCAAATGGTTCCCGGGAGCTGTTTTGAGACTAAGTTTCTAAGGCCAAAAACAGATTGGATCGCTTCCACCTCTGCTCCAAAGGACCTTTCACTGCGAGATGTTTCCACTTTGGAAAGACGCTCTGTGCTGACCGAGGAGGGGAGGGGCGCGCGCTTTGCCTTAGAAAGCAGAGCTCCCTCCTCTCGGGGGGCCTCCAACCACCCCCTGTGCTCCCTCCTTCCTCAGAGTCGGGCGATCTGGGCTTGGCCTGAGCTCGCTCATGCTGCGACCCCACAGCAGACGCTTGCCTAGGGCCCTTGGCCTCTTTTCCATGCCCCGGTGTGGAACTTGAGCTGTGCAAGGAGAAATTGTTTTCCGTCTTGCCTGTCCCAGTTCTAAGCTCCATGCCCTTGAAATTCAAATACCAGAGACCTAAATATTTGCTAGCCCCTCTTTCTCCAGGCTGAGGATGAAAGAGGTGTTCCTTAAAGGTGAGTAATTTCTGGTTTAGCATGTTCTGTGGGTTGGCAGTGAGAGTGACTTTGAACTCTACAGTGCCTGTGACTTTTCTGCCAAAATCCTCTTCCCCCGGCACCCTCTGGGACCTGGGACCAGGGAGAGCTCATGCCAGGGTAATGAACGTCCTGACGGGGTTTTGGTGGCCGGGTTTCATACCGCAGGACAAAGGAAGCCAGGAGTCCTCATGACTTAATCTACCACTTGGGCCTGATTGCGTGCCCAGCTCTTTCCTCCCTCTCACTGGGATTCCAGGCCCAAACTTGCCTATGCCTGTGGGAGCTTTGTAGCCTTTCTGTCTGTTTTATATCTCTCTGTGTTTGGATTCGAGCTGGCCTGCTACATTAAACTTAATTCTCACTGTTGGAAAATAATTTCTGAAGGCGTTGATCCGCAGGACAGACAGCTCTTCCTGGCTGTGTTGTCTCCGCACCAGGAGCTACACACTGGACTTCCTTCCAAATGGGCTCCCTTTCTTTTCTTCTTCTTCTTCTTCTTTTTTTTAAAGATTCACTTATTCATCTGAAAAGTCAGCGTTACAGTGAGAGAGGTCTTCCATCCACTGGTTAACTCTCCTGATGGCTGCAATGGCCAGGGCTGGGCCAGGCTGAAACCAGGAACTTCATCTGGATCTCCCACGTGGGTGGCAGGGGCCCAGACTTTGGGCCATCTTCCAGTACTTTCCCCAAGCCATTAACAGGGAGCTGGATCAGAAGTGGAGCAGCTGGGACTCGAACCGGTGCCCATATGGGATGCTGCATCCCAGACGGCGGTTTTCACCTGCTTCCCTCTCTCAGGAGAATCATAATTTTTCAGCTCTCTTTGACTCCTCTTTCCCCATTGCTCTAACCCTTACAGCCAGTTTGTCATAATGCGTTCTGCACAGCTCCAGACATGCCATTCGCCTTGTTCACAGCCTGGTCTTAGCCCATCTGGTTCGGCCTGGGTGGTCACTCTGGCCAGTCCCCACCCATCCCCCACCTCCAGCCTCTCACCTGCCCCAAAGCCGCCCTCCCCACCACTGTCCTGTGAGTCTGCCCGCCTCCTGACTGTCTCGTCGCTATCAGCTGGGGCTGTTTAGCCTGGACACTAGATGTGTTTCTGATGGAGGTCGGCGCTAGGAGAAGCAGTACCTAGAACTGGGTGGTGGTCATGCAGAGAGAGCCAGGAAACCCAAGAGCGTGTGGCCGGAGCCGAGCGGACTGTGTGAAGCAGCAAGTCTCTCTGCACACACCAGCGATATCCCAGTTAGAAGACAGCCTGAAATAATGACACACTGAAAAACAACCTACAAATAACCTCTATTTGAAATATCAGTTTCGGGGCTGGCTTTGTGGCATAATGGGTAAGGCTGCTGCCTACAGTGCCAGCATCCCATATGGGCGCCCGTTCGAGTCCCAGCTGCTCCTCTTCTGATCAAGTTCTCCAGTATGCCTGGGAAAGCAGTAGAAGATGGCCCAAGTCCTTGAGCCCCTGCACCTGTGTGGGAGACCCAGAAGAAGCTCCTGGCTCCTGACTTTGGATCGGTACAATTCAGTTGTTGCAGCCATCTGGGTAGTGAACCAGCAGATAGAAGACCTCCCCCCCCACCTCTGCCTCTGCTTCTCTGTAATGATTTCAATTAAATAAAATAAAATTTAAAAAAAAATATCAGTTTCCTATGTGATGAAAGCAATGAAATTTGGCTGAGAAATATGGGGAAACTTATTGATAAAAAATGTTCCTGGATGGGAAAATTAAAATTGTAACAATGTCAATTCTTCCTTAATTTATTTTTAGGTTTTCTGTATAGTCTTTATAGAATTGGATATAATCACTTAAAAGTTTATCTGGGAAAATAAATAGGGGGAAATGGCAAATAAAATTTTGAAGGCAGAGCTTGGGAGGATTAGTCTCGGCAGACAGGAAAACGTGATAGATATACATATACATATATACATATATATACACACACATATATATATATAGCAGGATATACCAATGTAACAGACCAGGTAGGCAGAAATAGACTCAATTTTATGTGAGCATTTTAAAAGGCATGGGAGGAAAAGCATTTGACCTGTTGGTTAAAAAATTGGGAGAAAAAGGACTAACCTTAAATGGTACACCTAAATAAATTTTAGATAAATATTTCTAATCAACTGTAGAAAAACTAGAAGAAAGTACAATTAAATATCAAATATGAAAGAGGTGGATTGGCACTGTGGCATAGCGGGTCCATCTTGCCTGCAGTGCCGGCAGCCCATATGGGCGCCGGTTCAAGACCTGGCTCTCTGCCATGGCCTGGGAAAGCAGTAGAAGATGGCCCAAGTCCTTGGGCCCCTGCACCAGCATGGGAGACCTGGAAGAAGCTCTTGGCTCCTGGCTTTGGATTGGCACAGCTCTGGCCGTTGCGGCCATTTGGGGAGTGAACCAGCAGATGGAAGACCTCTCTCTCTGTCTCTACCTCTCTCTGTGTAACTCTGACTTTCAAATAAATAAGTAAATCTTTAAAAAAAAATCAGTCAACAGTAAGATACTACAATAGAAAGTATTCAATGAGAACAATAGAGAAATTGTTTTAAGAAAATGAAAGAGGAAACTTTTAGAATTTTAGTGCTTTTTTTAACGATTTATTTATTTATTTGAATGACAGTTACAGAAAGGAGAGATCTTCCACCTGTTGGTTTACTCCCCAAATGGCTGCAATAACTAGGGCTGGACCAGACCAACCTGGAACTTGGAACTCCATCCAGGTCTCCCACGTGAGTGGCAGTACACCCTGCTCTCCCACATGGTGCAGGGGCCCAAGCACTCAGACTATCTTCAGGTGCATCAGCAGGAAGCTGGATCAGAAGTGGAGCATCTGGGACTTAAACCGGCACCCATTTGAGAAGCTGGCATTGCAGCCCATGGCTTAACCTGCTGCACCACGGTGCTGGCCCCAGAATTTGAGTATTAAAGGTCAGGAAGGAGAAAACATTTTAGTATAGACCTTCTAGGGGCAAGCACTTGAGCTAGGGATTGGAAGCCAGTCAACATCCGCATTCCTTAGCAGAATGTCTGGTTTGCGTCCTGCTCCCAGTTTCAGCTTCCTGCAAATGTAGACACTGGGAAGCAGCAGTGATGACCAAATAATTA